ATAACCCAGGTGCGGTCAGCGGGATGGTCCTCGGAGAATCTGCAACGCGCGCAAAAGGAACCGAGCAAGTAAATATGCTGAGATATGGTAGGCGGGAAAGATTCGTATATCTCGGACGTGAACTCTTGTTTTCCTCCCCGGGCGAAAGAATTGTTGCTGTTTTAGCATGTTGCAATGTGAATTTGTACCGAATGATGCGTAACTGTATAATTGCAGTTGGTTTCACTGGGGTAAATTACGTTTCTCACTTTCTTTCTAGGCTTGGACATGCTCAAAACCTAAGATTATAATTCCGCCTTTGCCTTAGGGAATAGACATATTATCAATGCACTGTCAGAATAACATATTGTAAATGCATAGTAAAGAAGTAGAGAGAGACTTTTAAATAAAAACATGTCAATAATGCTTATTTAATGAAAAGTCTAATTTTGTGGAGAAGATGCCTCCATTTATAGCTCTTCTTTCAAAGATAGTGCCTTTCTGACTTCACTAACAAAGTCAGGCAATGCTGTTTTTTCTTTTTAGGAGAAAAACTTTCAAAGTGGAATGGTAGATGGAACCTTCACATGTTGAAGAACTGGATTATATTTTGTTGACTTGATTTTATTTCTGGAGGATGTCTATATTTTTTAAATAATTGGTTGCAATCCTGGGAGAACTTTTATTATAAATATTGCCATTAATATTAAATAATTTGCTTATTCATTTTGGTTATGAATGTTGTCATTTTGGCATGATTTTAGTGAATAATGCATGTGTACTAAAAGCGGTTCATTTATTTTAATGCTTAACATGTTTTGTGGATTATCTTCTCCATCTGCATACGCTTTGTCATGTCCCTATAGAATCAGAATACATCCTTATCATTCAAGATGTATTCTAATTGCAATTTTTAACTTGTTGATTTATGAACTGCTCAAAGAATCTGCAACAACTTATAGGTGTTTTGTAGGCACAACAGAGCTATCTAAAACATCTAGTAAATTGAGTCTTTGCTGAGGGGCCCCATTAGAATCTTTCCCAAGAGCAAAATTTTTCCACATTATTTTTTATATACAACGAATGAAAATTTTATAAATCAACTAAAATCCTTAAGGAAGTTGGATTCAGCACCTAAATAGCTTTTTTGATTTGCTGGCTAGAAAATGTATCTGGCTAGATCTATGACCTCAAAGTTGTAGCATGTGCGCACTAGGGTAAAATGACAGTCTGCCCTCCAAAGAAGTTAGAATTTGCCTTCTGAATTCTACAAAATTTAGAGTAATACTCAAAAGGGGAAAAAAGGAGGGGAGGGGTGGTAGCTGCCTATCATCCAAACAGGAGGGGCAGTTTCCTACATCCTCTGCAATAATGGGTGATTGGAAGGAAAGGTGAAAATTGAAAAGATGAAACCTGGAATTACTGTAAGATTTGGACTGGGTAATTGCAGTGGTTGGTTGGTAGAGTTTTGCAAGAAAAATTGTTTATTTTTAGCAATTTTTCACAAATTTCACAGGCAAACATCATTGGACAAATGAGATCAGATTCAGATTAACTACATGATAGGAATTAGAAAAAGAAAAAATGAAGTTCAGTCAGTTATGACACTTTCAAGTTGATATTATGGAACAAATTGAAATGTTGATAATAAAGATTTGTCATACAGATGGAATTTAAGATCATTGCAAAGAGCAATTTGAGTAGGTTTAATTTAGGTGAAAAAGAACCTGAGAAGATGTTATCAAAACTAAAGCAAAAAAAAAATTCAAAACATAAAAAATGACAGTGACTTTCAGAATAAGCCATCCTGATAGAAAGGAAAAGTAACAAGGTAAAACTCATGGGCAAGGAAATATGACAGCCAAACTATCAAGCAAAAGACAGAACAAAAAAATACATTCAATTTAAGAATGTTATAACACAGTGAAAAACAAGGAAAGATGCTTTTAAAAGTTCAGGTAAGTCACAGGAAAATTTACAATTATAATAGGAATATAGAAGTGCAAGTATTGAAGAGATCTACAAAAGGCAAATGAGGTCAAAGGCGGATGGCAAGCACTAATTGATTTCTTTACAAATGTCATTCTAGGACAGAAACATTTATAGCAAGAATATATTCAGGAGCTGACTCCACTAGAAAGTGAGGTACAGTATGGGGGGCGCTAAGATCTGCTGTTGAATAGAAAAAGATGAGTGCAGATGAAATAGCCACTGAACTACTTATGCTGCAAGAGATGCTAACTGTGCAATACACAAATACATATGGAACAAGACGGTCAATTCATACAGACTGGAAAAGACTGGTGAGTATGCTTACTGGAAGTATACAGATTACAGTATTAATCTCCTTAGTCAGGAACAGAGTTTTCAATTTTTGCAGTGTTCTCAAAGTTTTTAGTAGAGAAGTTTTTCACTCTTTTCAATTCTATGTGGCACAATGCAATAGATCCGAAGGTTAGTCTATAAATTCATCCGGTGATAATTTCAATAATAATAATAATACATTCTGATGCATGTTGACTTAGAAGTAAGACTCGTGGAATGCAAGAGAGTGTCCTCCCATAAATGGGTTCAGATTGCGCAGACATTATCTCGGTATCCAAAATCGTGCCTCTCAACGTAAATGGTTCTATCTGCAAAAAGCACGCTCACCAATTGGAAATAAAATTAAAGGAACAATTGCACTAACACCATACACTGGGAATAGTTATACGGTATTATGGTTTAGCTTAGTATATCACCCAAACCCAGATTTGACTTCAGATTATATATATTAAAAATGGCTTGTTGTAGATTAAGTTATTTTATCTCCCAGTCTGGTACAGCATCCATTTCCAAACAAGGTAATTCCTCTTGTTCACTCTTCGGGTGGAGATGGGATATTCTTTAGCTACCATGTCTTTTTGGTTATTTTTTTTTTAAGGAAACGGTGCCCATGCAGACCCCAAAAGATACTGAAAATACTATCCAAAAACAAGAGAATGATAAATGTTCCTTGGGTAAATATTTTAACTATGTTGTGTAAATGCTATCAACATCTGTGACATAATCTGAAGATCTAGAACAGGATGCTCTAGTTTGAACCTGTGGCCCAGTATGCAAAATTCACCACTACTTGCCATGCTGAGTAGGCATTATTGGAGTTGTATAAAGGGCCACTCCTTGTGTGGGGAGATAAAATACTAATTCCTTTGCAGCAAAAATAAGATGTTTGTGGCACTTTAAAAACAAACAGCATTCTAAACCACAGTTGATTCTAATATTTACTAAGCAAGTTAGAATAGTCTGATTAACACATCACGCTAAGTCAGAAGCTCGTTCATAAACCAGAGTGACTGAGATCACAGAGCACATTAATTCAAAACCAAATAAAATATATTATGGGTTAATGTAATGTGTGAAGGACTCAGAAATTGTGTAACGGTATATGGATTAAAATATCACAGGCATCTTTACTGTGTTTAGAAACTACAACAAAAGACTTAACGGTTTGAAATAGGTAGAAAGCCAGTAAAGTAGGTATACCTAACCCTACCATGTGTTTTTGTTCTGCTTTATGAATAGTGCAGTTTGGGCTACATAAGAGTCATCACATTGATGGACAAGATACCACTAACACGTAAGACTATCTATTGTTACTTGTACTATGAACTTCAGTTGCTATGAAATGCCCTGTGCATTTGAACCAGCATACCCCCACAGGTCAAAATGAAACTATAATTGTGTATGTAAGGGTTTATTTAACTAGACATCTTGGTAAAAGATTGGATATAAAGTGGTAGTCTGTTCACTTTAGAACAGCTTTACCCCAAGGTCAGATTTCCCCCACTGTGATGGCATTTTGCAAAATCATAAAAACAAATACAGATAACAGCAATTCTTATTAATAGCTTTAGTAATCTATTAGGGTGGCTTGCTTTATAGATTTTATAGATTTATGATTCATAAACCACTTACAATCTTGCAAATATGCAGCATACAAATGCGTACAAATACAGCTTGAGGGGAGAGGGGTAATCACCAAATTACTTTGGTGTCACTGAGTACTGACACAAGTCAATGTGGTTTAGAACTCAAAAAAGACAGAACGCTTGACATATTTTTAAAACAAACCAGATTCAACAAAATGAAAAAACGAGTATAGTTGTATTGTTTTGTGCAGGGGGGTGGGGGAAGTAATGCCCCCAAATAATATGGCAGCAGAAAGCTTTGTTTTCCCAGAATCATTCTAGGTGGATGAATGACATAATGAAATCAGTCAAGACCTTCCCATCATAGACCTGTATTTTTAGTTAGAGTTCTCAAAATCTGCTAAGATATCTTCCATTTCAAAAGCTTGATTATACATTAGACAACAGGCATAACTATTCTGCATCCAATGATTGTAATGACTTTCTTTTACTTAATATCCTAAGGAGTGCTTTATTATATCAAATCAAGATCTAATTACATCAACTTTCCTAATGCCCATCTCTGCAACTTTCAGGTAAGCACTATAAAGCACATAGGACACCTATCTCCCATTCCTTTCAACAGCAGCAGCTTTCAAGAATTCATCATAACAATCTTAGCAAACTGTTGCTGCCCAGACTAACACTTTTCAAATTGACTTTAGAGTCATTGGATGTTTTGAAATCCCTCTCTCCTTGGTGGTTCAAAATAGAGGTTATTTCAGTTCCAATCTTCCCTGAATGCAGACTACTGGGGAGAGCATCTGCTGCTGCAGACATACATGACTTCTCATAACCTAGATTTCCCAGTTCAGTAAAAGAATTTAGAAGGGGTGAATTTCATTGTCACTTGTTAAAAATCCCCTGGCTTAACTTAGACGGCAGGGAAGATTTTCAACTCCATATTTCCCCACAAATGTAACTTCTCATGTATGAGTACTGCAGATATTTTACATAAAATATGGTCAACTTATTTACCATGCATGTTTTAATGTTTATATTTATCATAAATATTTTATTGTTTTATGCTGTTGTTTGTATACCTACGCAACTCAGAATTAAATTGGGAAATACAAATCTGTTAAATATTGGTGTCTAAATTAAAAAAGATTCTCTGGATCCAATAAAAAGATTCCAGTCTTGTGGGTTTGGAAAATCTTCGGATTGAGCCTGATGCATAATGACATTCCCTCAGTGTTTTCCTGCTTAAAGTCTTGGGAACTTTTTGTGCAGTATGAAAATAATTAAAAGAAAGCAATTCTTCCGGTTTTAATCTATCAACACTCCTGATTTAGTCAATTTCACTGCTCTCAAAGAAACATAGTTTTCAAAAGAATACAGAAGAAAACCTTTTACGTGAGACACAAAAAAGACAGCAGATACACTAAATAGAATCTTGAAAATTTCATCTTTAATCCACACAAATACACAGCCATATGTTGTAATTAAGCTCAAGTTGTAATTATTAATGGCTAGAATGGTATACATGAAGACATGAAAAGCCAAAGACTTGCCATGCACAGAATCAAGTGTGTTGTGGGAAGAGGAAAGAGTATTAGGTATGTTCACCACCTTGAGTTACTTATTATAATAATATTAATAAAAGCAGGATAAAAATAAACAAAATATTTCTTATACCATTTCCACAATCAGAAGAAACAGTTTTGAAACCCATCTTGTCAATTTTCTGCCTTTGTAATACTTGGATAATGCAGAATTTAGGCTTTCTTTGTCTAGAAGCTAAGTTTCACTGCTGAAGAACTTAACAAAATTTTTAAATCAAAACAACATTTAGACAAGGAAGTGTAAACATTGAGCCAGAGTCATCAGTAGTTCAGAAAAAGGAATTTTAGAGTAACTGATTTAATCAGGGGTCTTGTTAAAGCCTACTAGTGCTTTTCATAGCAAAATTGTGATATGGCAGAATATTTCATCAGTCAGTGGCGTCAACAGAGCAGCGTCTGCTGATGTTATTAGCTGTTTATGGTCTCCTAGCTCCTTTAACCCTCCTATAGACATACTTTTTATAGTGTTCTTCTAAGGTTCATAAATTGAGCTAATTAAACCTCTTTTAAAAAACCCATTCACTTCTACCAAGAAATTGATAGTTCAAGTTCAAGTTCAAGTTTATTGCATTTATATCCCGCCCTTCTCCTAGTGGACTCAGGGCGGCTTACAGCCAATTAAAACAGAACAATCAATACAAATCTACAAAATTTAAAATCAATTAAAAGATATATCCAATAGGCCTATTCTTATTCTAAAAATTAATTAAAAACCAATTTAAAATGTCCCTAGGCCAGTCCTGCCTGCTGAAACAACCATGTCTTGAGGGCGCGGCGGAAGGAGGGGAGATCCGGAATCAACTGGATCTCTGGGGGCAGCTCGTTCCAGATGGTGGGGGCTCCAACAGAGAAGGCTCTCCCCCTGGGGGTCGCCAACCGGCACTGTCTGGTTGACGGCACCCTGAGGAGACCCGCTCTGTGGGAGCGTATCGGCCGGTGAGAGGTGATCTGTGGCAGAAGGCGGTCTCGGAGGTAGCCAGGTCCGATGCCATGGTGCGCTTTAAAGATGATAGTCAACACCTTGAAGCGC